TCTCCAAGGAATACCACAGAACATGTTCTTGAAAGTGAATTGAGTGTTGTTACATCTAACTCAGGCTAAGTCGAGTTATGTGTTCAAAGTTATTAAATAATCACTAAAGAGAGTATGATCAACAAAAATACCGTTTACAATTTGTTATATTTTTATTTATTTTCGTGTAATTCTTTATAATTTATATAGAAAAATGTGCAAATATAATGAGATAATAGAAACTGAATTTATAAGCAAATACCTTGGTATAATACTATAAAGGGTATTTAAAATACTAACACTATGAAGTTGAATATAGGGAGTAATACATGATCCAGTTCTAAAATCCAGTTTTATTGCTATATGACCAATAATCATCTTATATTAAAACTATCCTTCGTACGATTGCATACAAGTTACAACTTTCTACAATTTTGTTAAAGCTCTGAGATCTTATAACCATTAACTTAATGTATGTCAGAAAATAATACTCAAAGCAACTGGTATTGTTAAATACTTATATCGGTGGAATGATAAGTTATTAATATATTCGAGCGTCAATAATATACAAAATAACATATGAACAGTCTTATTAATCAAATATTTTACATAAAAGATATATCGAACTAATTTACAGTTTATTTTCGTATTTTAATATTAAACAATGAAAAATTTTATTTGGATTTTTTGACACTTGAATACTAGTAAAAATTATAAAACAGTGTTTAACAGAGAATTTGCTTTGTTGCCATTGCTATCACTTAGGGCCACATTTTACTAAAAATTACATTATAATATACAATGGGGTTTCAAAGTAACTATACAATAATGTAATGTTGTTTAAGTAATGTTTATGAGTAAAATAAACTAAATCTAAGACCTAGTGTAATATTGAAAAAAGGCTGAATTACTATATAGTTTCAAATATACTTCACGTATTAATTATTTTTCTATCATGAAGCATAACCTAAATATTTTATTGCCGAATAATTAAGAAAAATGTGGTTATTTACATTTTACGTCACTTTTTATGATAAAGAAAAAACAAAAACGTTGATTTTGAAACTCATAAACATTTACTTGATTATGTAATTAACTATGTGTATTTCCATTTGTTAATCATACTCTACTCCAACCCCGAAGTTCAATAAAATTTTCGTTCGTGTATTATTTTGTAGCATGCTTATTTCACAACTATTAAATCGTAAAATTTTACTTAGGGTGAGCACACACCCGAAGCAATAATATTTGTGATGGCAAAACAACAAGTCTTCATCTCAAACCTTACAGCATGTAACTATTTCCTAATTAAAATTAATTTATCCTATTCAATGAACACAACGAGATTGGATGTGTCCATCCAAAAATATTTTCTACATGACTATACATTATTCTATAAATTTACATGGAACTTAATCCGTGTAATAATGTGACTTAAATTGTTCTATCGTACCCAATAAAGTGTAGTAAGTGAAAAATAATAATAGAATGTTTAGGTACTTCACAATATGGCTTCGGAAAAGCCTAGCGCAACCGCTCACAACAACCGCGTAGGATACTTGGTATGAACAAAAATATATTGAGCTGCCTCTTGCGTTGCTATTCCTTAATTAAACTAATTAGCAGACCTTGACAACAATTTTACAAAGCTATATAAAGCATAATTACAGATTGGACAAAAAACTTTGCATTGAATTTGCTCCGATCTGTTTATATAACAACCTTAAAACTAATAACTTACAAATCAAATAAATGTAATATAAATGTGCGAACAAATGTGCATAACAATAAAAACCTTGAAATTGTAAATATTTACATTTAATAGTATCCAATTGTTTCATCGACAGTCGAACATACTAACTTTCTACACATAATAAGTTTAAATATTATATAAAATTATAGTCAAGTTTTCATTCGCTGTATAAACTAAAAAGTTACAATATTCATAAGAGATTTCACAATCAACTAGCACCTAATGATTACAGATTAAAAAAAATCCCGAAATTGTTCCTACAAAATATTAAAGTTTAAATTCGATACTGTGTAGTGCAATTTGTACTGTTTAATAATAGACATCTGACACCAATTCCCGAAATACTTTGTCATTTTTTAATTACTATCGTTGCGGTATTTAAAAATAATACAGTTAAATGAAATGCTAATATTAAGATTCCAAAGATATTTAAGAAATTTCAGTCTTTTATCTGTGGCATTATTTATTACTTTGACACCGGCAAAATGTCGATTGTTGCCATTACAATACATTAAGAAAAATACATTCCATGATATCGGATTAAATTGGTAAATTTGTTAGATATCTTTATATATGCTTTGAATAAGGGAAACTGAGCAAATTTTAGTAAACTTATTTCTTAATATTGAGGTAGAAGGAAATGCAAAGCGATACGTTATACAAAAAACGAAAATGTAATGATACACTTTAAGAATTAAATTCCTACGTAGGTATATAGCACTCATACTATTTAAATTTAATTTATCGAGTAATTTTAGCATATCCTATATTATGTATGTATATATATATATAGGAATGTTTAAGGAAGCGATAAACTAACCAATGACATATATGCCTTTTAAGAATAAATAAATACTAAAACAATTGTAACAAAATTAATGAACGTTATACGGCTTTTGTTCAAAAATAATGATGGCACTCGGTTTTTCATCTTGAATAATTACACCTTTTTCTCATGTCACGATAAATCTAAATGAATATAGTCTTGTAGTACGGTGTGTATGTAATAGATATAAAGACTAACTCACCCCCCGAAATTATGGACCGAAAAGTGCTAAAGCGGAGACTTAGAACGAATTATTCGTCCAACCTCGACAATGTGTCGGTGATTACTGTCCGGGGCGGGTCCGAGGGCTTGAACTTTTTGGTTTTGTTTTTTTTTTATAAGAAAAAAATAAAAGCTATTTTTTTAAATGTGTTCTTAATGTAACCTAAAATAAATAAGCCTTTTCATTTGATATAATTTTTACACGATAACATTAAAATATGTATGAAGCACACGTTTAAATTGCGATTTAGGTATCATTTTTGATATCTTTTTGTCGAGCCAATTATTATGATTCGCTTTTGTCTTTACACAGCATTTGTTCGTATCGTGTTTCGTATTTGCGCAATAATTACATCGCAGTGGACTTACAGGGCACACGCGCGTGCGCATGCGTGCAAGTGCATGTGCGTGGGTGGTGTTACGTAATATGAGGGTTGTAAATCATTTTGCAACAGGCCACTCTCCACATACTATAAGTGCTTAACTGAACCTGCATTGTCGAAAAATAATTCGCATTATTGATATACGATTAACGAAGTATTTGCAATGTCTGCACTAAGCGATGTGAAGGTTAGTATTTAGGCTACAATTAATAATATCGAATACTGTGAGTAGAATATAATTTAGCTAGTTCTAATTACTCTTTATTTCGTTTTTGTTATAATAATACAATAGTGGATGTATTATAGTGGATTCATAGTGATAATTACAACATAATATAATTGCAGTTACCCATTAAGCATAATGTGATAATACTCCCTGCGGGTACATACTTTTATTGCATTGATTTCAAAGTATGGCGAATAAAACTCAGCGATGCGAGTAAAAACTCATTAACATGAACAAAATATTTTTCATGTTAGGTAAATAATTGGCACCTCTCGCTTCTTGACCTATGCAGAGATAACTTGCTATGATTAATGCGATCATTCCATTAAATTGAAGCGGCAGAAATGGTTATTGATTATATGTTTAAAGTGTTGGTCACACGGTATTTGAGTACGTAGTCTTGCATGTGTGCATTGTATATCTTCTGCCGTTTATTTTAAAGCATGTTCCAGACGGATGTAATCCAGCGTCCCAACAGAGGTGACCTTGCTTGTTGCCATACATCTAGACGGTAGATTTAATCCAATTTTTGATTTGACTTTCAACGTCCTTGAAGGATGGGCGCGCGCTCCCATTCGCAGATGGAGTGCGTGGATTACATCTTACCAAAGACATTTGTGCTACGGCAGGCAGAGGGTGTGCACGTATGCTGGTGCAAAATGTCATCCACGGACCAGCAAAGCGAACGCGAAATTATAAGTGAATTAATCGATTTCTGTAGAGGATATTATGCCGGAAACTTGTAAAGATGCTCGTCAAAAGAAAACCGCTTGGGAGATATTACTCCAAAATTATAAAGAGTTGGACCAAAATTTATTTTCTTTCTTCGATTTCCGTCTTTAATTGCGTACAATACTGTTAAAAGAAAAGCCACCTTTTGAAATGTTAACAAATTAAGAGTCCTTGCTACAACTAAATTCTACTATTCTTGGTTGTAATCCGTGTAGCATAATCCGCAAATGGAAACCAAGCTCCGGTCAAGGTCACCTCTTTAGGGACGCTGGATTACATCCATCTGGAACATGCTTAATGGCACTATTGTATTAAATGGACACTCCTACATACATAAACGAATGTTTTTAGCCTCGTATGTACGATTATTTCTTGCTATTTCAGACACAAACGTGTACATTAACATTAGTTAGTAAGTGTTACACTACAGTTATAACTTTCCGGGTTCACATAAGACCATAGTGAAAGGTCTGAGTAAATTAAATTGTGTTAAATGGATAGCAGTTCCTCGGCGTCAAGTTAAGGAGGATATGTTTGTATATTCAGTGAGATCAAAGGGTTAGTGGGATTTCAATGTCCAAGTTTTTGTAAGTGTAAAATGGTAGCATCCTCATTTCCTACGCTTTGTAAGGGTGAGCGCGTCCGCTGACACAAGCTTGTGTGTCGGTGGCAATGTGAAAATGTCGGTAGCAATGCCGTAAGTGGACGCGCCTAGTGCAACGTGTGCGTGCGAGTCACACGGTCGCTTCACGAGCGTGGAGAGCGAACGAGATCTCAGTGTGAGTGTGTGGCAGTGTGCGTGTCCGCGGACACATGCGGGTGTGTGTGTGCCGGTGGCGCTGCACGGATCGGCAGCGGCGGCGTGAGTGCGCGCGCGAGTCACGCGGTCACTTTACGAGGCTGGAGAGCGAGCGGGATCTCAGTGTCGGAGTGAGTGAGCGCGCGGCAAGCGGCGCCGCCCGCGCACAGGCGCGCGCGCCGCGAGCGCCGCCGCGAGCCGCGCCGCTCGCACCCCGCGCACCCCATGCTCCCCCCGCACCCTGCGCACACACCGCGCCCGCGTATAACGCAACCCTCCTAATACATACAATATCTAACAAAACCCTGTGGATCCCGGTAAGTGCGTACTTTACTTGAGAAAACCAGAAAATAAATAATTTAATTTAATTTGAATAAATATTTATTTGCAAATAATATATGGTTTTATTACCTCTAACTGACACGCGTAACGGTAAAATACGCCGGCCAATATAGAGGTAATAAACCAAAATACAATTTCCAAATAATAATTTATTCAAATTTTATTTTTTTATGGTCGAGTTCTTATTTCAATGCGTTTGAATACCGATTCTGATAACACACTTAACGACAACCAAAGAGTTTTTGTTACATTTTGTAAAACCACGACTCGTGAGCACAGCCTTGACATAACATACGCAATATTTGATTTATAGGTCTTTCAGCGCGGGGTGGGTACGGTAACATTTTTTCACCTGATTAGTCCCTTAGTTAATTTATTCAATGTATCTTCACGTGACATTCGAAAGCGGTATATTGGCTGGAAAATGTACATGCGCACATGATGTCACTAAGTACTCACGACTCGCGCCGCTGTTTTTACGATATTAAACACATGCACAACGCGCAGATATCAACTTGAGATCCATAATGCGCATCCCCCTTCTCGTCGCCTTAATGCATTTCGACACATCATCAGAGCCAGATCCAAGTTAATTTCTGCGCTTATAAAGGCCGATTTACATCGGGCAAGTGTGATCCGTTCAAATGCTAAACGGAACGTTTACTTAATATGCTTATGATCTAAAGTTTGCTTAAACAAAGTTCCACTCGGCCGGCACTGAACGGATATTAACATCAGTTCTAAATCTAATGTCATTGATTAACTTGAATCAGCATGACAGCCTAACGGTATTTTATTTTATTTTATAAAAATTTAGGTGATACACTTTGGAAGACGATATGCTCTCCCCTCAATCTGCGTTTTTTAGGCAACACTGGCCTTTTCTAAACAAAAATGTCAAAGTTACCACCGTACCACCAAAGTCCGTCAGTCAACCGACGTTCGAACTAACGTCGGTTGACTGACGCCTATGACTAACCCAAGGTAAATCGGTCTTAACGGACGTATCTGTGTGACAAAGTAAAGGTCGGCTTTTTGCATTTTTGGCATTGAATGCTATTGAATGTCACAGTATGTAAATCTACAAAATTTTTGAGTTTGCTAAATTATTTGCTTGTCTATGAAGTGGATAGTATAATCAAAAGATTTAATGTTCAAAGAAATCACTTTTCGCATTCGGAACGGGATTTAATTTAAATGAGCTATGAGAGCCAGCCTTCTGTTTGGACATAGACAGTCACACTACATCTATCACGTGACGATTGTGAATGATTAATTTCATTAAAAGGAAGACTTGTAAATTTTATTAAGTTAAATTAGAAAATATTGAGAATTGAAAACCCTTAACTGCTTATCTATTTCCAGACATTTTAACTCTTAAATACAAAAAAAATCTCTTTTTTTTTGGTGATCTATTAAAAGCAGAGCATGTAAAAATCATTCACTATCGCCTGTTGTAATTCGCCACTTGACCAATAACATTTCGAAAGGACTACTACATACAAAATTTATGGTACTCTTGTGTGTGAGAACAATACCAGGTAAAATTCAAAAGATAACGTGTCAACGGCGATTACTAATATAAAAATAAATGTACACACAACAACAATATATTTTCAATCATTATGCAGTATTACAAGTACAAGCAAAGGCAAAACCAAACGTATATTTTCAGTATGAATACCAAACATATTTATTCACTGTGCATGAACTCGACAAAGTAGTAAAAAAACAAGCCAATCGATGAAAATTGTATATTGACAAAATATGAATTATTTGGTTATGTCGAGCAAATGTAATGACGTATAAATAATGTTGCTGTAAACTAAAATATTTTAAAAATAATAAGGTAAAGGAACAAATATTTTTATTTTTTATTAAACAGTGAATATAATGCTTCTTGGAGTTTAATAAAAATATAATGCTTCTTACACGTTAACAGTGGTAGAACCACGCGGCAACTTTTGCTGTCGCATGGATGGGCCGGCTCGAACCGGGGTAGTACCACGACCTCACAGAAAACCAGCGTGTTCGCTTGGTGAGTGCAGGTGGCCGGAGGCCCTTTTTACTGGAAATGAGGCATTCCATCTTAGTCCTCACGGGTGACAACGCATCTACATTTTAATTTGTAACAAAGGATAGATGTAGATGTCTATGGGCCGCAGCAACCACTTACCATCAGGTGGACTGTGTGCTCGTTTGTCACCCTTATCCTATAAAAAGAAAATTAAGTAAGCTGCACTACTACAAACTAGTTTGATAACAAGAATACATTTAAATATTTTAACTATGCTGAAAATATTAACATCACTATATTAAATAAGACGACAACGGAAACAACTGCTATACTTCAAAAATCAACCAGTCAAAAAAAATGTCAATACAAAAATAACTAAGCATCTAGATGACGCTATTGTCATCGTACCTATAACTGATTTAAAACAAAATAAGAGATTTTCAAAATTCATAACGAACAGATTTTAGCTGTAGCTATTTACATTTAAACATTAATTTAAGCCAATTATCAACACTTCCATAAAATAATAATTTTAAAATTGAAAAATAGTCATTGCATAAATTCTATTTTTTACCCACGAAAAATTCAATCATGTAACAAACAGGTTTGAAAGATGTATCATGTTATTTGATAAATCTATTACATTAATAATATTTAGTCGATTGCAATCGGTTTTAGTGACTTTTAGTCGTAACTAGTAATTAATTTGAAGAGGACTTTGTATTGAACAAAAGATTTTAATTTTGAGCGTTAACTTGTCGATAGGAATCAATATTAAATTATGCTCATATTAACTTTACTATCTATTCGATTCACTATTAAATTGTAGTCACCGACAGTGGAACTACGGAATGGTTTGAGTTAAATCACGAGTAGAGACTACGACACGACAGACACTTTTTAAATCTTGAATAATGATTTCAAACAAATATTGCGAAAGTAAACAACAAAAACGTGAAAAATATAAGGTTTTATGCAAAGTAAAATAATAGTAGACAGTGTTAAAAATTAATTAATTAATAATAAGTTTTCAAAAGATATTGTTTGTAATATAAGATATAGTAGGTAAAAATTATGTAATGGATATTTTTTGCGATATTTACAAAACTAACATTTACATCAAGAAATGTTTTATATATATATATTTTATCAGATATTTAAAATGCAAAGACTATATTCCACATTAGCAAACACAATCGGAATCTTGACGAAATTGTTACATCGGTAGCGAAAAATGCCAATTATACATATTCAAATAAATTTATCCACTAATGTGAATGAACTTAAGGATCACAGTGAAATAATGTAAAATGAAAGAAAAACCACAATCCAATAGTGCAGTGCAAATAACACGGCGCGCTAAAGCATGCAGCAAGCAAATCCAGCCCCCATAGCATGAATACTGTGCTGTCAGTTAAATTAGCCAAGGCTTTTCTCTCCTTGCGCAAAGAAATTATCAGCGCAGTTAACTACGGTACCTTACTTTCATCTTAAGAATATAATTTATAAAATGTTTGATTTTGAAATAAAACACATATAATATATAATAGTAAAGCAGTATTTTGTTTGTATGTGCCAAAGTAAACTTTTTAATATTGCAAAGCTCGACCTTCTAAGGGTCATGATTGTAAAAATGAAATAAACGGTTCTAAAGTTATTAATAGTGATTTGTAAGGTTTTTTTTTAATTTCTTTGATAATGGTTGTGCTATTAATATTGCGTAATAACTTGCCATGAAGTCAAAATCTACAACTGGGTACTGAATTTAGCAGTACTCACGTATTAGATAATCCCCGGCGTCCCTAAACGCCTGCCACAACCTTAGAACACTCGAGAAAGCGAACAGAAAAGGAGAGCAAAGCCCCAGGTGGCGTTAGTGTTGCGCACCGAAGCGTTCGTACAATGACACAGTACCGGTGCGCGAGGGCCGTTTCAAAACAAAAACTCTAGGCAGGCCACAAGCACGTAGAGAGCGGTGCTCTCGTCGCGCGCCTCCCGCGCGCAGCCCGCGGCCGCAGGGAGGGGCGGGGCGGGCGCGGGGGCGGAGGCGGGGGCGAGCGCGGGCGCGGGGGCGGGCGGCGTACCGGCGCGCGAGCGGGCCGCGTCCAGCGACGCGGCCGGCTGCAGGAACCACTCCGAGCGGCTCCGCATGCGCGCCCGCTGCCGCTCGTGCACCTACGCACCACCGCAACATCACGCGACACCTTACCCCCACTATCGGCGCAATCGATATGCCTACTACTGACGCAACGTTTCATTTCTCTCTGTCATCCCCGTAATAATCTAATTTCACGCGGCGGTCATTTCTCTTAGTCATGTTGTGAAAGTTGACGAAATGACGTCTAATTGACAAATAGCGTAGTATTAAAACTATATAACTATTCTTCTTCTTTATTAAACCAACACAATCCACTACTAGTCACGAGGCTTTCCTATGAGAGGATTTGCCGTAATCGCCATATTTTTCAGACAAATCGTCGATAGCACCTTTGATGCTATTTTCCGTCTTAATATTTATGATCGTGTTCGTGCGACTAATTCGTAAACTACAAGATTTGCGTAAAAGCCGTCGTACACTGTAACGACTAAATACCCACTCGTCACAAATTAAGCTATTGAAATGGGAGCTACAACGTGGACAGTCATTATGTCAAGTTACTGTTATTTTTCTAAATTTAAATGAAAGTAGCATAGTTGCTGCTGAATCGTTACAATGTGTGACGGTTATAAATCGACTTACAACACAATACAGTTATTAACAAATGACCAGCAAATATAGCGTAAAACGCTGAAGTCAGTACTTTACGCAGCTATGTAAAAATATATGATTAACAATATTATTTATATTATTATATGTAATAATGAATGTTATTTGTCACAACAAGCTTGTAAAATATATTGGTTGTACCAAAATAAAAATAGGAACGACAACGTCGTCACAACCAAACGATCCTCACCGGATAGCATCAACAATTATTTTTGTAGTAAAACTTCTTTATAAGTCGCGCCCTGAAGGTATCGATATCATTTTTCGAACGGAAGTAACGTTTAGTAAAATCTATCCGTTCACGCATTTTCCGCATTTACAAACGCAAGCGACTGACTAGAATTTCTTGAGTAGTATAGTATGTGGTATGTACAATTTTCAGATATTATATTTAAAATTTCTTTTCTATTTTGATATTGCTCAGTACTTTAACTTATTATTATTTTATTGACAAAAACTTTAGAATGTTATATAAAAAATTATTAATAAATCGAAGATAATAAATAGATAATAACAACAAAAATAAATATACTACAGAAATAAATCTTATTATTTATTGATATTAATAAGTTTTACTTCAACTGAACGTATAAGGTGACAAAAACTTTAGAATATTATATAAAAAATTATTAATAAATCGAAGATATCATTACAGCCCTTCACAAGTCCACTGCTGAACATAGGCCTCCCCCAAAGAATGTCACAAAGCACGGTCCTGAGCCACCTGCATCCATCGACTTCCTGCATGTCTTACCAGGTCGTCACTCCATCTCGTGGGGGGACGCCCTACACTTGGCCTACCGGTACGAGGCTGCCACTCGAGAACCTTTCTTCCCCATCGGTTGTCGGTTCTTCGAGCTATATGGCCGGCCCACTACCACTTCAGCTTACTAATCCGTTGGGCTATGTCGGTTACTCTGGTTCTACTGCGGATATCCTTATTCCTAAGTTTATCACGCAGAGAAACTCCGAGCATAGCCCTCTCCATAGCTCGCTGAGCGACCTTGAGCTTCCTCATACGGCCAGCAGTGAAGGACCACGTCTCAGTTCCGTAAGTCATCACTGGCAACACGCACTGGTTGTACAATTTCGTTTTCAGGTTTTGAGGTATGTCTGACGAGAAGATGTGTCGTAGCTTCCCGAACGCTGCCCAGCCGAGTTGAATCCGTCGATTGACCTCTCGGTCGAAGTTGGACTTACCTAGTCGGACTATTTGTCCCAGGTAAACATACTCGTCAACAACTTCGAGCTTAGTGCTCCCAACAACTACCGGCATAGGTGTGACATGGACATTGAACATGATCTTTGTTTTGTCCATGTTCATCTTAAGACCTATCCGTTGGGAAACACTATCGAGGTCATTGAGAATAGTGCTTAGGTCCTCCAGCGATTCTGCCATAAGGACTATATCGTCGGCAAATCGAAGGTGAGTGATGTACTCGCCATTGATGTTGATACCGTATCCTTTCCAGTCCAGAAGCTTGAAAACGTCTTCCAATGCAGCGGTTAAGAGTTTCGGGGATATGACGTCACCCTGTCTTACACCTCTCTGCAATTGGATAGGTTTCGTACTCTGGTTCTGTACTCGGATAGCCATCGTAGCCCTACTGTACAAGCACTTCAACACTTTGATATACCGATAGTCAACTTGGCACCGCTGAAGGGACTGCAGCACCGCCCAAATTTCGACGGAATCAAAGGCTTTCTCATAGTCCACATACGCCAGACATAGTGGCAAATTGTACTCTTCGGACTTCTGTACAATTTGCCGAAGGGTATGTATGTGGTCTATGGTGCTAAAGCCCTTTCGGAAACCGGCTTGTTCGGGAGGCTGGAAGTCGTCAAGTCTGCGCGCGAGACGATTCGTAATGACTCTCGAAAACAGCACGTAGACGCGGCTCAGAAGGGAAATCGGTCTGTAGTTCTTCAAGAGAGCGTTGTCACCTTTCTTGAAGAACAAGACCACCGCACTTCTGCTCCACGCCTCCGGTGTAATGCCACCATGGAGGACGGAATAAAAGAGCTTCTGAAGGACTTCAAGTACCGGTCTTCCACCCGCTTTCAGAAGCTCCGCTGTAATTCCATCCTCGCCTGGGGCCTTACGGTTTTTAAGGTGCTGGAGAGCCATTCTAATCTCGCTCAGACTGACGTCCGGGATATCTTCCGAATAATGTCGGATGAGACTCGCTCTTGGATCGTTACTCACACTTGCGTGTGGCTCCAACGATGACGTGTACAGCTGCCCATAGAACCTCTCAATCTCACTCAAAATCTCAGGTGTCCCGGAAACGATGCTGCCACATTCTGTCTTCAGCTTTGACAGGTGGCTCTTTCTGGCAGACAGATCTCTGGCAAAGACTTTGGAGCCTTGGTTCCGCTCGATCGCTTCTTCAATACGAGCTGTATTGAAGTTGCGTAAGTCCCGCCGCATGCATTTGGAGATCTGTCTGTTCAGATGCCTGTATGCTATCAAGTCTGTTGAAGAATGTAGCTTCATCTCCCGTCTAACAGCCATGAGATTAAGAGTGTGATCGGAGAGTTTTTGTGTTCTTCTGCGGCGGGTCTTGCAGAACTTAGCTCCGACCGCATGGACAGTTTCCACGAGCTTGTCATTCATATCGTCCACTTCATTGCAGTCTTCTAGGCACTGAAAACGGTTTTGTAACTCGAGCTGAAAGGTTTCGGGACTTTGGAACAGAGCACGAGGGGGACGGAGCGTTGACTTCATTAGACGAGACCTCTACAACTTAATGTTTAAGTTCAGTGTGCCTCTAACCATTCGGTGATCGCTACCAGTTTTCACCCTCGCGATCACGGAGACATCACTGAACAGTTGTCGTCTGGTCGTCATAATGAAGTCAATCTCATTTTTTGTCGAACCGTCGGGGCTCGACCAGGTCCACTTCCTGTGGGGCCGCTACTGGAAGAAAGAGTTCATCATAAAGAGTCCCTCTTTCTCCATGAAGTCGGCCAGCTGCTGGCCCCTTGGGTTCCGTTGCCCCATTCCAAATTTCCCTACTTTCAGCTCACCGTTCTCTCTTGTGCCTAGTTTTGCATTGAAGTCTCCCATTAACACCGTATATTGGGTTTTGGAGGAATGCATGGCTCTAGAGATATCCTCATACATTTCCTCCACCTCCTCATCGGGGTGTGCCGAGGTTGGTGCGTAAACCTGTATGACCTTCAGCGAATACCGTTTGGTGATTCTGAGTATAAGGTACGCAACCCTCGTCGACACACTCCCGATCTTTACAACGTTGTTAACGAGAGACTTGTGGACGATAAATCCGCCACCTCCTTGGGGCAGATGGTCGCCCTCCCGGTGATAGAGCAAGTTGCCGGATTCGAGGATTACCGTGTCCTCCCCCTCTCTTCGGACTTCGGATAATCCTATAATATGCCAGCGCAACTTGTCTATCTCTTCTTCCAGCTCCACGATCTTCTCGTCAGTCCTCAGGGTGCGTGCGTTGTACGTTGCCAGGTCGAGTCGTCTAAGGTGGCAACCGAAACTCCACCGGAGATTCTTAGCACCCCCTGCCCCGCCGTTACCATGGTCGCCACCGTAGCCAGGAATAGCGGGGCCGCCGGGGACTGGGGGCCGTCTCTTTGTTACATTCATAGGGGGGTATTTGCCATAGTTGCCACGCTTGGCGAGCGGGTTGGCAACCGCAGTTTTTTTATTGTAATTTTGGCTATTATTAGGAAGATGCTGCTGCCCATCTTCTGCCTGTTTCCCTTTGTCGCCTTTTAGGACACCCACGGGAGGATATGGGGTAACGGATATTCTTGACCGCCACTACACGGCAAAAAATAAAAATAGATAATAACAACAAAAATAAATATATTACAGAAATAAATTTTATTATTTATTGATATTAATAAGTTTTACTTCAACCGAACGTATAAGGTAATCTTTCTTACGAGCGGTTTTAAAAAAAATCAACAATAAATTATTATTTAAATTGGTCGGTTGTACAAAATTTTTAATTTTACCACTTGTTTATTTATAAACTTATATGATATTTATAAAAACGAATGAATTGTAATTAGTTTTTAATTCATTATTTAAAGGCTTTTTAATAGTTAAAATTTCAAAATAATAATGAATTGTGCGGATTTCGACTCAGACTCGAAGAGCTAAAGGATTCAAGAAATTTATTATTTTCATGAGATTTTTTTTCATATTAAAGAAATGTCTGTAATTCGTATTTTTAGTATCATTTCGAATAATAAAAATAAAAAGTTGTTCTTTTTAAAATAATTAATATTAGGTATTTTTTAGTGTTCGAACAGCCAATGTAAATTTGACGTGGCGAACAATTTACAACATTTTATTTCAAATTATAATAAACTTAAATAGTTTAGCGCTACATTAAATTTTTTATTATAAAAGAAACCAGTATATTTCAAATCCGTACTGCGCTGATAATGCTAAATTTAATATTTAATGTAAAAGAAACCAGTATATTTGAAATCCAATTTCTCCGTATATAATCAATTTTATATAAAAGAAACCAGTACTTATATTTTTAAATCCGTACTGCGCGAATAATGTTAAATTTAATTTTAATATAAAAGAAACCAGTATATTTGAAATCCGTACTGCGCTAATAATGCTAAATTTAATATTTAATGTAAAAGAAACCAGTATATTTGAAATCCAATTTATCCGTATATAATCAATTTTATATAAAAGAAACCAGTACTTATATTTTTAAATCCGTACTGCGCGAATAATGTTAAATTTAATTTTAATATAAAAGAAACCAGTATATTTGAAATCCGTACTGCGCTGATAATACTAAATTTAATATTTAATGTAAAAGAAACCAGTATATTTGAAATCCAATTTCTCCGTATATAATCAATTTTATATAAAAGAAACCAGTACTTATATTTTTAAATCCGTACTGCGCGAATAATGTTAAATTTAATTTTAATATAAAAGAAACCAGTATATTTGAAATCCGTACTGCGCTGATAATGCTAAATTTAATATTTAATGTAAAAGAAACCAGTATATTTGAAATCCAATTTATCCGTATATAATCAATTTTATATAAAAGAAACCAGTACTTATATTTTTAAATCCGTACTGCGCGAATAATGTTAAATTTAATTTTAATATAAAAGAAACCAGTATATTTGAAATCCGTACTGCGCTGATAATGCTAAATTTAATATTTAATGTAAAAGAAACCAGTATATTTGAAATCCAATTTATCCGTATATAATCAATTTTATATAAAAGAAACCAGTACTTATATTTTTAAATCTGTACTGCGCGAATAATGTTAAATTTAATTTTAATATAAAAGAAACCAGTATATTTGAAATCCGTACTGCGCTGATAATGCTAAATTTAATTTTAATGTAAAAGAAACCAGTATATTTTTAAATCCGTACTGCGCGAATAATTAAACTAAGCAATTGAAACGTAATCTGTTTATTATATTATATAAATAATAAATAAATAAATATAACTAAAAGAACTGTGTAAAATTACATATTATAAACTCAATATATTTAATAACCCTAAACTTTTTATTAAAAATATATCAACCAAATTAATGCAATTTTTTACAACACAAGAAGCCGTCTCTTTTTTTGCAAATCTTTCAAATATGAAAAAAAAAACGTTTGTGCGGACGCTTTTATATATACATATTGTTTAATGGATGTAATATTTGTTTTCTTCGAGCGAGTTACACTTAAAAATAACCATATTATTAAATATATATTATAAATTTATTAAATAATATTATTCATGTAACACCACACTAGAAAACCAAGTAGTGAAACTTATAAAAAAAATCATGTCACTAGTCATGTGCAACAAAACAGAAAAATACAAAAATATACTTTCGGCGGCCACACTGTAATATTTTATAATACGACGAAAAGTCATTCCCATTTTTATTTTTAATGCAGTATTGATTCTTTATAACTCATGCAAATTAAACTGATGAGATCTGCACACACTTATTGCTCAAAACTTGTTTGCAACAGTTCTAAAACTTTAAGTTCGCGAGCCTATTATATACAGTAATGGCCAGAAAGTTCCATAGTCGAATCTCATTACATTTACGTGGGGACAGAGATTGTTAGAAGCTACTACACATACAAATCAATTTAGTTATTCTAATTATTCTTATTTTCAGACAGTCGTTCGAGTTGCGTATTTATACATTTTTACCATATATAGATGATCCTTAAATCGAAACAAATATTTATGTAAAATATTAATATAGTGCTTTTTACAACGTAGCGGCTGCACTAAGCGCATGAATAGATGCATGTTATTTACGACTTCAACCGTTTAGTATGTAGCGTTTTATACTGTTATATGACAATAGCGCCTTAGGCTTCTTAGAACCCGTAATGTAAACTAGTGTTATTCACTCAGAAAAAAAATTCGCATGAAATGAAACAAATGTTAAAATTCAATTAGTGTCATAATTAGAATACATTGGTATCAGGATATTGGGTTAAGAGGAAAATACCATACCCTTTAACAACATTTAATAAATACTACAATTCCGTTTTCGTAATATAAACAATATAATAAAATTGACAAAATATCACAGTCATAATCATATGTCACGTGAAACTATTTGGAACAATCAAAGCGGTGTTGCCTACTGTACAAATTTAATTAACGAAACCATTCGATATAGATGCGTATATCGCATCCATGTGCATCAAGCGATTGTGTTGCCCTCACACAAAATATACATTCTCGCATTAGCATCATCTATACAACATTTTGGTTTTCAAACATAATAATCATACAACTTCTCTTGATGACTGAATAAATGTTCGACAAAAATCAACTAAATACTAAACGGACAATCACAGTTTGACTTATTTACCTTTTTACGAAGACAGATATTCATCATGCATTACAAGTTCACACAGACCACTAACAAATACTTGCCTTAAATATCAAATTTATTTTTTTGTAAAATACGGACAAAATATTATGCATCAACTTTGACTATGTAAGTATAAAAGTATCTGTAAGCATTAAGATTTAATTACGAGATATCATATTTGCCAATGGTCTAAGTACAACACAAGAAAGAGACAGGTTTTTTGCTGAGTTCAGTGGACACAGGTTCTACAAGGTGGCTATAGAATAAAATCTCGTCACCATTACTTAAAGAAAAACTCCTTTAGTGTGCGCTAGAATTTAAACGTTCACCAATTTATACGTCATGTTCAATATACAGTTAAAAGTTTAAATCAAGTTATAGAAAATAAAGTCGGGTCCTATTGGGAAAGATTCACAAATGTAGCCAGATTATTTGAGATATTAAAACACAATATTTTTGTTATTTTTACAGGATTAAAAACCTCCTTAGGTTCTTCATAGGTACATGAAATTAGCAATAGTGTGAAATCGGCAAAAATCTAAAAATACACTTTAAGTGTAGTTCCTAAAGTCAATATAAAGACATTGTTTTAATAGTGATGATAATAAATTTGTACATCTCGTCAATGGAAACGATAATGTGATGATAGATACATTAGAATATAGCGAAAAAGCATACCTGGGGCAAGTACGAGAGGCTCTTTGTGCTCTCGGCGTACTTGTTGATGGCGCGCAATTCTTCCAACGTCATGTGCGGACTGGAACTGGAATTACAAGACGATTGTGATGACGAACTGACGGAAACCTGGAAAAATTAAATGTTCAATTTAAAAATTATATTACTATTAGATAATTATTGTGAGCAGAATAAGATGTGTGGTCTGAGTGCTAGCTCTGAGTGAGCATGCTAAGTGTTAGGATTAACAGAAAAAGGAAAGAGGTGTTAACCCTATTTCTGCGTTCAAATAGCAGTGCTTTATTTTTCTCTGAAGGGAACAGAGATCCAATGTAATCACAGACTGTGATTACATTGGGTCCTATCTTGTGTCACATGTAGCCTTCTTTGTTCGAAAATTTACTATATTTTTACAATACAATAAAAGTAGTTGTAATAAAAAGTAATATATATTATGTAAAAACTGGGAACAAACACAAGCTAGTGATACCAAGCACTCGACTCAACAGAGTGAGTAATTCATTCATAGGTCAATGTATACGCTTTCACAACAAAGTTCCGGAAAATATAAAACATCTCTCTATTATCACAGAATAAATAATAGTACTACGTACAGAAGTTGCACTATTTTGATGTTGATTACTTGCCGACGTTTTAATAGCCTACATCATTATTATTAATTAGATAAATCGCGCACGCAAGCTATATAAAACTTTATCGCCGCGCACGAGTGTCAGTATTACTTTGCATCTTTTCCCCTTCCTACGTCACGATGGAGTTTTTCAGTGATTATTAAGGGCTGTCAATAAAGAGTAAAAAAATACACATGCTACCCACTTCAAAAAAAGAAACTATAGATGCGTTGTCACTTCCGAGGACTAAGATGAAATGCCTGTAATTATACTAGTAATCTACACACTTCAGACCGGAACACAGTAGTTCAAGCATTGCTGTTTTGCAACAGAAATAGATAGGAAGGTAGTACCACGGTCACAGTCTAACTACTACTAACAGTCGGTCATCGAAGGCTTCTAGACAGGATAATCGTGCGGTGTGGTGTGGGGCGGGACGCGGACTGAGCACTTCCAGGAACTGGTTATTTTGTCACGCAAATAAATTAAAATGGTTCACACTACATGTGCGGTAAAAAAACTGTGGGTCGTCCTCATTTAAGGATAAAGATTAGTTTCATCAGTTTCCACGTAAACATTAATTTGTTTAAAGGTGAAATAAAATAAAATCAGTTTATTTTTTATTAGTTCCCGTTCTCACAAGCCGAGCAATTTATTGTTTATGTCGGCTTTTCCGACAACATCAAACGCGATGACTGTTTGTATGTTCTTCTTAGGCTGTGGTAGTATATACCTGGTTCGGATATACTGTAGAAAAAGAGGTCACCTAGTAAGTACTTAAGATGTTCCGCTCCCGTGTATAATTTACTTCTCTTTACGGTTTTCATATAACAATGGTATATAATACTAGTAAAGTGCGTATATGTAAGACCGACGTTATACATAAGTGCATGTATAATGTATATGCATGTATAGTGTTAACCGTGTAGTTGCGGCGTAAGAATATCCACTATCTCATATCGTCCCGAGGGTGTCGTAATAGGCGACAAAGGGAAAACAACACAGAATAATAAAAAACTGCGGTTGCCAACATGATTGCCAAGCGTGGCAACTATGGCAATATTTTCCTATGAGACAGTCTATGAGGGAGGCCTGTGTCCAGCAGGGGACTTTTATAGGGTTTTATGGATGGAATTAGTAGGGTCGGCATTATAGAAGGTGGGGTGACCTTGAAGACGCTCTCCTCGAGCGATATGGAGAGGCGCGTGCAGGAGTCGAGCAGGCTGTGCTCGGGGATGATGCCGAGGCCGAGCGCGCCGCCCGCCGCGCCCGCGCCGCCGCCCGCCAGCGCCAGCGCCGGCATGGACTGGCACTCCTCCGACTTCGACAGCCCTGCGCACCCTGCACACGCACCCACACGTCACCGCGCACGCACACCTACTGCCCGCCCGCACACTACGCTTGCCGAGTTCCTTCTGCAGCCCATACCCCAGCGATCTATGCACGGTTATTTTGCAATATATGCCCAAATTTGCAGAGAAGGTTCAGAATAAGTAATATAGGCGAATGGTGAAGAAAAATTAATTTAAAAAATCTCCAAACAAGCATTCTGTCCTTTTTACCATTTAAATTCAGAATGCGTGGTAATGCATTATTATAGCTAATTGTCACTCATAAATATCTAACGGCTATTATATTACGCACGCACATATTCGAAACGGTCGCTCGGTCGGAAAAAACGTTGTGAATTGAATCGCATAGAGAAAAGCACGTATATGGGCAAAACCTTCGCGAAGTTTTTGCCCATAAATCACAATCAAATTTGGATAATTTCAAATAAAAGTAAACGCCTTATTTGCGCGTATTTTCAAAAACTGCAATAACGGTATATCATTATTTATATATTTGAACTTAATATAAAATTGGATACTATTAGAAAAGTAACCCTATACAATCTCCATTAAAAATCAAAATGCAGAGACGTTGAGAACTGTCTTAGAGTAGAAGCCTTAAACTGTCAGTAAAATGTGTCCGGTTCAATCACCATACTAAATACGACAACTTTATGCTGCTATTCTTAGAAAGTGTGGGCCTTTAATGGTAGAGCCGACAATGTCGCCATAATACAGCGTTACTTTACCGCCTATAGATAGTTTCCAGCACACAATTTAGTAGAGGTTGCTTTGCGCAAAGTAACTCTTTTAATCACTTAAAAATATTGTTTACTTCAAACTCCTATGATCCTCGCACAATCACTGACTTGTAAAAATTTATTTGCATATCATTATTTCAATAGTAAGATAAAACAATACTTAGACTAGAAGATAAAGAATTAACTGGTTGATATTTTCGCATCGACAATATAATTTTATGACACTCCATAAATTCAAACAAGTTAGAAATTATTTTGCTCCAGTATCGATAAGATAGGGGTGCTTAATCGTTTTAATTAAGGCTTCAGTTTGAGTTTATCGGGGGATTCACCGATCGTTATCTTTTTCAATGCGTGCACAAGATCACAACATGATTTTCTAGCAGATATTTCGCTTCATATTGCGCACTAAATTCAAGTGTGTCGTATAGGTTATGCAGAAAAAAACTGCAAATATATCCAGTATTTTGACTAGGTACTAGTCCATATTTCCAGTTTTTTTTTACCGTCTTGGTTAGAGAATGTGATTTCCATTTAAAGATTCAGTGACTAATCTCTGGTGACTTATAACGCATTTGAAACATATTGCTCCAACGGAACAGAAGTGATCAATATGCCGTAGGGAGGAGTTTGGCTTAGAATCATATATTATAGAACAACTCCAGAACGCTTACGTCTCGCTATGAAATATGTGCCAAGATTTAGTGACCAATTAGTGCCTATTACTTTTTAAAAATGTCAATGTTATTTATCAAGTAGCACTTACCCACAAGTTATATTTATAAAATACGTAATTTTTTTGCTAGTTAGTCACATAGGTATTACTACCTCCTAAAGTTAATTTTTAAATTGATGATGGGATTGGTGTGAATTGCCAGGTGGTTTTAGCCTCCGGTCTGATATTGTAACTCAATCACTGATTTTTTTTTCTTTACTTACTAATTGTCACCAATTCCTTCCTAAATCTTGGTATAATAAATGTTTGAATTCTAGACCAACGTTAATACTGGCCGCAGTCCGGATTAAAAAATATGAACCTATTTTGTTTAAGCTGTTGCCAACGTTGCGGTGCCATTTTTCAATCGACTTCAAAAAAACGAGGAGGTTCTCAATTCGACAGTATTTTTTGTGTGTTATCTCAGAACTTTTTTCAAGGTGAAGCGGTTTTTATGATTCTTAATTGATTGATGATGATTTTTATTTGCAAGCTGGTGCTTCTCATGTGGTCCCATATAAATGTGATCAAGATCTGACCAGTAGTTTTTAAGTTATCGTTAATAATTCGTATTTAATTGACTTCGACTACATTTTATTTATATTGAAGTCGGTTGTACAACATTTTTAATTTAACCACTTGTTATCTATACAAATAAATAAAAGTGTCTGTTTGTAATGTCAAAATTACAGTTTTTACTGAATGCATATGAAAGTAAATATGGTACTTATAACTAAAATACAATTTTTTAAATTTTTGTCTGTCTGTCTGTTTGTTCCGGGTAATCTCCGAAACGGCTCGACCGATTTTGACGGGACTTTCACTGGCAGATAGCTGATTTCATAAGGAGTAACATAGGCTACTTTTATTTTAGAAAAAGAATTAGGGTTCTGCGCAAAACATAAAAACTCTAACACGCGGACGAAGTCGCGAGGAACTGCTAGTTTAAACTAAACAACAAGTGGTAAAATCTATACAAATAAATAAAATTGAAGTGTCTGCTTGTAATGTCAAAATTACAGCTTTTTACTAAATGCATATGAAAGTATATACGGTACTAATAACAAAACTACAATTATTAAAGTTTTGTCTGTCTGTCTGTCTGTCTGTCCGTCTGTCCGTCCGTCCGTCCGTCTGTCTGTCTGTTTGTTCCGGCTAATCTCCGAAACGGCTGGACCGATTTTGACGGGATTTTCACTGGCAGGTAGCTGATGTCACAAGGAGTAACATAGGCTACTTTTATTTTAGAAAAAGAATTAGGGTTGCGCGCAAAAAAATTTAAACCCCAAATAAAACGCGGGCGAAGTCGGGGGGAGCAGCTAGTATGGTAATAATAACAAAAAACAATTTTAAAAATTTTTGTTTGTCTGTCTGTTTGTTCCGGCTAATCTCCGAAACGGCTGGACCGATTTTGACGGGAATTTCACTGGCAAATAGCTGACGTTATAAGGAGTAGCTTAGGATAGTTTTATTTTTAAAAAATAATTAGGATTCCGCGCAAAAAAATTAAAACAAATGAAATTGTAGTAAATTCCACGCGGGCGAAATCGCGGGGGACAGCTATTATAAATATCAAACAAATATATTCACCCACTATAGGAATTGTTATAAACTCAAATATAATAAAAATATCTTATTTAAAGAAGTAATGTAAGTCGGATAATATCTGAACTACTTACGATTATTAAACAATAATGGAAATTGATTAATTTCCAAACCGAAATAGCCTTTGCAGCTGTAAACTACAATTAGTACTACACGTGTGTCCAAAATTAAATTCTAAGTGCTACCAGAACCCGAACCACGGTCAAGATATAACATGACGTTAAACCAAATTAATATCGTATGGGTTGTTAATGATTTATAAATTTTCACCGCACTCACCTAATAATAATTTAACAGTAATTATTGTACATTTACTTCGGTAATTTTAACAACTAAACAGGAATCATTGACGACCTGCGAAAAATGCATGCATTATTTTATAGCACAAATATTATAAATGTTTATGGTGTAACTTTAACATAAATAATGTAGGTACCTTCCAGATTGAATTTGTTGCCCCAGCGATCGCATTCGCACTGCAACCACGTTTTTTCTGCTTCCAATGACAGCTGTCCTGTAAACGGAATAAAAATTTTGTTAATTGTTACGAGTGATGGTAAAAAATCATCGTTAAATTTTATAGCTAAAAGCGGTTAATCTTCCCCACTTATTCAGGCAACTAGCTTTGGTCATTCAACGAGTCCTAACCGTTATACGTGGTAGAGCCATGCTGCAGCTATATTATAGTTGTAGCACGAATGAGTTGGTTCGACCGGGGAAGGACCACGCTCTCATAGAATAACAGCGTAAAATAGCAGCACAATGCTGCTGTGTTTTGTGTGGTGAGTGTAGAGAACCGGACACCCTTTTTACTGGATACTAGGTATTCCAATTTAGTCCAGATGTAGATGTCTATGGGTCACAGCATCCACTTACAGGTGGGCTGTGTGCTCGCTTGTTACCCTTATTGTTCAAAAATAATCTATTCGTCGTGATAATTCTTTTAGTACAAGCAAAGAAGTTTAATAATGATGCTGCAGAGTCTGTCCTATATCGCATCGTGATTGGCGATGCTGTTGGTTTGCACACTTCATTTATTTTGATGATATATTATATTTACTTCTAATGAGTCCTCCATTAACATTTAATAACGTAAAGTCTAACAAGTGCTCATTTATTTAAATATTTGAGAGTAAGATGATATTGAATGAATCAGACTTCTACGAGAACTACATTCACTACAGAGTTGTCGTCGCCTGCTCTGGATCGAGCACCAATATAAGCTCGTTTTAAATATAAGAAAACCAGTGTAATGACGGTCGTTTCATTTTAGCATCTCAGGTTCTTTTCGTGTAGTACTGGTTTAAGAATGTCTAGTATCCCGTGGAAGTCGGAAGAGGCGATAGAGAAAAAACGATAGTAGTCTGACTAAAAAAATTAATAAAGAAAAAAACCAGCCACGCGTAGCAACTATAGCAATTATCTCTCTTATGACTCAATCTTTGGTGGAGGCCTATGTTCACTTGAAGTGGACTTTTGATCGCTTGCAACGGTAAATGTTAATCTCATGTTGTCTGTGTCTTAGTTTTAAAGGTCATATAATAAAGTTTTTTTTATATATAGAATAAGGGTGACAAACGAACCCACAGTCCACCTGATGGTAAATGAATGCTTTGGCCTACAGACATCTACATCTATTCTTGATTAAGAATCAAAATACAGATGCATTGTCACCCCTGAGGACTAATGTCTGGAATGTCTCGTAAAAAGACCTACCGTTCTCTATACTCACATAAGAAAGACAATAGCATTAAGTTTATTATTTCACGCTAATATTCTGTGGAGGAGTGGTCCTTTCCCAGTCGAATCCCCAGAATGGGTCTGCATGCGTGCTTTTTGCCCACGCGCTGAACGTGCAGTAGCCACCGAACCATCCGGTGGAATGATAGTTTATGCGCCAATCTAATATTTAAAAAAACATATCATGTTTTATATTTACGTAAAAAAATAAAGACACAATTATACACAATCCGATTATATCAATAATAGAGCGTAAAATATCCATACAATATCCCGCCGTTTACAAAATCAAAAAAATTATTGCATTATTTACTGTTGCAACGTTCAGTGTATTCTGACCATTAATGAGGGAACAGTGTTGTGATGCGAGCAGTTTCATTCATTATTCCAGAATGTTATATATTTTTACCATTATGATAAAGTAAAAAAGTTATTCTTCAAATTTCTGCGAACTGTTTGTTATGATGCGGAATTATTTTGTATTACAAAATATCTGATATCTCCATTTAAAGACGTTAAAAATACTTACGGGCATATGCCTCTTGATCGCGATGGTGTCGAGGCGGCGGTGGATCCCGGAAGGAGCAAATCCATTCATCCTTCACGCGCAGTATACGACCGGTTACCCGGGCGTAATACTCATAGTTGTCCCGCCCGAACAGATCCCCGGCGCTGAACTGCTCGATCAACTGCCTCATTATACGCGTCGCCACCTGCTCGCCCAATTATAATTTACCTACTTAAATGGTCATCTTATTAGACAAGGTATACTTGTAAAGGGACCTTGTAAAATTACAAGCACTACAAAATAAATGACAAAGTTACAGTTAAATTACAAAAGTAGATCTAAATTGTTACAATTCGTAATATAAACAATTCAATACTCTCGTTTTCAAGCATTATAATGCATTTAAAAAATATATGAAAATGTATCCATATGAATGCAGCGAAACTTTTATATAGCACAGCAACACAAAAGTAGTGTGTAGTGTGGCTGAAATAAAAATGTGATACATGGAAAAAAATTGCAATTTAGGACAAAGCTCAATACAGCTGTAGTAGTCATACAATTGTTGCATAAATTTTGTAGGAATTTCAAAATGATGTGTTTTAATATTTCATAATTAAAATTGTTGATGTTAATTACAAAACATAAATGCCTTAGTTACATCTTTTGGTTGCTTTCTAACAACGTAACCTTCAACGGTTTATTTATTTAGGTCAACGGCCATACATAACAACACATACATCTGGCGCAAGTATTTGATACATAATTTATTAAACAGAACCAATTAAGACCAAAGCATTTTAACATGACTTCTACCACTGTTCTATTCTGATTATTGTTGCAATGAAATAACTACATACGATAATGAATACTTCTATACATATCATCACACTAAGAGCATTGCAAGGTAGGAAGCAATGAGTAAAGAATACACAATTATCGGGTATACCAGTTTGATAAGCTTTATGACCTTTCACCATATTTCCGTAGCGGTATCACTTTAATTAAAAATTTACCAGCTACAATTTAAAAAAGCAAACTCTATCTAATGCACTAACTTTAAAATTCTTTTAAAACTAAATTATAATAAATAGCGATTGTTGGAATTTCTTAACATTTTGTTCTTAATTTTCTGCCGACTTCCAAAAAGGAGACGGTACTCAATTCGACTGTATGTTTTTTTTAATGTGTGTTACCTCATAACTTTGTACTGGGCGAACCGATTTCGATGATTTTATATGAAAGCTGATAGTTCTCGTGTGGTCCCATATGAATTTTATCAAGATCAGACCAATGGTTATTGAGTTATTCTTAAATAACCTATATTGAAGTCGCTTATATTGAAGTCGGCTGTACAAAATTTTAAATTATACAGTAATGAATATTTAACGTAATTAAACTTAGCATACAGATAGGAAATTGCACTAAGTTTCTTATGTTTGAATATGCTCCTAAGATAAGTTCATTCGAATGCTGTCCGAAGTTTGCAACTGTGTTTTTAAGGTAAGTTCACGTATAACAAGTGCCTGCATAAACTCGTAAGGTGGAGCTTCACTTGTGCCAGCGCATTGACTTTACAGACCTACCGTCCATACAATGCAACCTTTGTCAATTAGTTCAAGCAATTAGGCGCATTTTCGTAAAGAACTGTATCTCCCTATGCAGATCAAAAAGACAGCTAAAATAAATACTGTGATGTTAGCTCTAGCTAGGATTCCAATGCAGGATAGCAGATAACCACGAAGCCGACATCACAACGACGAGATAGAATAGTACGCTACATACAAAATGTTAATTATATAACAATAATGTATTTTTAGTATTTTTTATGTATTTATTTTATTTTATTGATATTTATGAATATTAATCATTTTAATTTATAATTATATTTATATACAGCTCAAGCAGATGAGAAAGCTACATAGAGATACCCCAATAATAATATGAACTACATTATTTTGTAAACTGTTTAAAATTATGTGACGAAATACTTGATTGTATAGTTTCACGATCGTAAATTATTTTATGATATTGTTACGAACAAAAACGCAAGCAGTGGTTGTCATCAAAATAATGGTCCCATATGAATTTGATCAAGGTCAGACCAATAGTTTTTGAGTTATTCTTAATAACTTATATTGAAGTCGGCTGCACAAAATTTTTAATTTTAAATTATTTGTCCTTCAGTAATACAGAAAGAAACATTGTAATATTTACATCTTCGTTTATGCCATTTATGTTAGTTAGTACTAGATGGCATTTTATTCAAGCACTGGCTTATTAAAACATATAATAACTTATAATAATTCAAACATTACATGTTATTCTAATCTCTCACTAAAGGTCAAAAACGGGTCGACCGATTTTGATGAAAATATTTGTGTGTTTCAATGGGGTCCCTAAGATGGTTTAGTTTCACATTTGGACCCGGTAGGTGGCGCTGTTGTCAATATTCATAAATCACCTGTGCGAAGCCGGAGCGGATCGCTAGTTTAGAATAAAATTCGCGAAGAAAAACGCCACCATGGCAGTTTTCACAAAATCTAAGTTTAACGGTAATAACATAAATACAAAAATACCTACAATTCGCAAGATTAACTAAATATAATACACAATAATAGCACAGGGGCACATTCACTCTTCCTCAATTGTCTATTTTGTGAGGGGAAGTCTTATCAATAAACCTATAACAGATAATCAATAATTTGAGTGTTACTGAAATATCGACGTTAACTGCAATTAACAAATAGTACCATTAACAAGGCTACCGGTTATAGCTGAGGCGCTGAGCTACATGATGTGGTCTTAGTATAAGATAAGTGTACAAACATGATAAATGATCCCAAAGATTATGTATGACATTGAATCATGAGGAAATGAGTAATGATTTTTGTGAGTTAGCCGTTATCATGTCAAATAAGCAAATTAAGCTAGATTACAAAAAAGGTGCTTTAAAGGAAAGATGAAAATGTCTTTTAATATTTACATTGATTTATATACGGTTCTTTATATATTTAAGATACAAAAATAAAACAAACGTGATGCAAACATTACGCACAGAACCCTAAAGTAACAGAGGAATAAGAATAACAGGCAATAAACAGTAATATAATCCGCTAGGATTTTAAAACCTATATAATTTAAGTTTTATAAAAATTTCCACTAATAAAATGTATTGTCTGTGGTATGAATTAATTGCGAACTAACTAAAAGCTAAATATGTTCTATATTTTTAATGGAATATGAAGCTGATTTAAAAAAAAACACACCAATAATATCTACATTGCACAATAATACTGATTTGTATCATACTCACGCTCACTTCAGCCTTTGCCGCATGTTTTAGACAATATCGTGAACAACAATTCAAGCTATATACAGTTAGAATTTACAATATAAGTATGTATTGTTTTTACATAGGGCTATATATGGAAACCATGTCTATTACACAAGACTTAACTCTTGTAATTATTAAAGGAATTCATTACGTAATCCGTGGGAAGTAGATATATAAAAAATAGAACAAAAAAAAACTTAATAATCTGTATCTTCTATACGATGCATCGATATTTCTTCATTGTTTATTAATAAAAATAATAATTCTGAATTGAATTTTAAAGTCTGAAATGTCTTCCAAGTAATAAGCTTTCTCTTTAAAATCAATGCATAGTCAGATCTAAAATAGATTAATCTTAAAATATCAAAAATGAGTTGTTAAAAAGCTCCATACTTATTTCAATATCAAAATTTTCTAAATTGGGTAATAGTAAGCGCAGTTGTCTGAATTTCACCGACAATCCGTGGAATGAATATCCATTTCATGTATTTTCATTGTAGTATTCTAGTGCAATGAAAATCTAGTAAAATAGCGCAGTTTTTTTGTGAACACTGTACAAATTAGTAGTTTTTAAATAAAATAAAAGCGAAAAAAAAACAATCTCGTTATTAAAACTTTGTGGTTTTATTTATGCTAATATCACATATTGAATAAAGCTAATCCTTCGTGAATATAATAAACGCGACAAAATCCCGTAAATACATTTGTTACTTGCTATTTTTTCCGAAAAGCAACTTTTATTTCAAATATTAAGATAACTTGTTGATTTAACGGATCTCAAGCAAAATAAAATCAATTTAAAAACAACCCTTAATGTTATCGACATCTTGCTATATAATAATCGTTAAATTCCACTTTCCTTTATCGCTTTATTAAAGATTATCATTATCAAAGTCGCAAGCAGTTAATGCAATGGCATTATTGTTTATGGCTTGCATTTCGATTGCGATCTGATAAGTCCAGCATAAGAGGTTTATCAAAACAAAGGACAAGTAGACATACATGTCTAGCTACAGCTCAAGCTATCTCTTCCTAAATTAAATGTCACGTTTTACTTTAATTAAAATGCTTGTTGTGCATTTAAAAATATTTTAATTGCGAACCTTTTTTATTATGAATAAAAACTTACTAAGGTTTAGACAGTCTTCATAATAAAATATTTTCAATTTGAAAGTTGTGATGAATTCGATAATCGAAAGTCCAAATTTAAACATCTCTTAAGGTCCATAAGGTCCAATTCGACTTTTTTAAAAGGACATCCTTACGTACGTACGTATGTACATTAATGAATTTTTGCGTCTCGCATATCTCCAGAGGAAATTAAGATATATCAACGAATTGCATTCAACGTTTATATGCATAATGAATACCTGATTTTATTAAAACTAAAGTAAAAATTAAATAAACCTTGCAACCACACCCATTTTATTTAAATTTTCTAACAAAAACATCAATGACCAAAAATACCGTACATATCCGACAGTTGTTTCACAACTAGGGTATTAAATAATGCTCGCAACGTTGCGGTCCAGCGGCGACGTCGTGTGCAACGGTCACGGACGCTTAGTCGCACATCGATTCACGTGATAAATTTGTTACGGAATCGATAGTAAATTATTCACAATGGATTCAATATGAACTGACCTTGAACCGCTGCACGTCCTCCATCGTGGCAGTCTTGCCATCGGACACGCAAGAGTGAAAGAATGACGGGGCAACCGACACGCCCAGGGCTTCCGACGTCATGCCTGTACCTGGTTGAACGAAAAAATACTAAGCCATCTTTTAGATTGACATATAAAAGTTAACAAATAAAATAAACAAATTTATAATTCTATTATCGCATCACATTTTATACACAGCTTATTTAGGCAGTCCTCAGCTACACGCTCGTACAAATTACCTGCATGAAATGTGTGTGCTTCGTACGGTAAGTGACGATACCGGAGATACCTTTTGGAGACATCCCATCTATGGCCTCAAGGGTGACAAAGAATGTGCATTTTGATAACTAATCTAGCACAGGTGAAGGTGTCCATGTGCATATTTCACGATGTTATTTGGTGCGAGATGTAGAAAGTCGACAGATACAGGTGGCCATTCCTAAGGGGAGGCCTATGTTCAGCAGTGGACTTGTAATGGTCTGTAATAATAATGATTCTATGTGAGCGTGGCCTTTACCCAATCGAACTGACCCATTTGGGCTGCAGCTATAATTAATCATAGCGTGGCTCTACCACATTTAACTCGCATGACGACTTGGTAGCTTAGGCACTAAGTGTTCAGTTGCGGCGTTGCGAGCCGAGAGTTCTTTTATTTTTAATTATTCCGGATTTTTATGAATGTAAACTGCCTCCAATAATGGAGTATAAACAAGAAAAGTCCTAGGGTGGGAGTAACGTTTTTTTAAATGAAATAATCGGACTGGTATTGCTGCTTCTTCCTCACTAGTAGGTATATTAAATTTACGTTCAGTCTTTTGTATAGGTATTCCGCAATCATTCGCAGCTGATTGATGGACGAAGTCCATGCATATGCAAGTAAACTTGATATTAGCAGAAAAAATTGGTATTTTCCCGCCTACTTTTATTACTCAGTGCTTTGATTATAGTATTAATTATATATGTACCTATTTAGATAGAGTTAAAAATGATAATTTAAAAATTATTAATAGTAATGTATAAAGCGCACGATAATTGTGACCTTAGAGCACTGAAATGCAATTCATCTCAGTAGCAAACTTTTAAAAAGTTTATTAAAAGGCATGCAGGCACTTAAAAAGTAGATAAATCGATAATACGAGTTATATGATATATAAAGCTTTGGCGAATAAATGGATACAAAAACACAAAATATTCGATTTATCGCACTAAAACTGTGAAGCATTTATAAGACTTCTCGAATTGTAGATAGGATTTACAGTAGAAACTTAATGTGTTTGAGGTTTTAAAACATTTAAATCATTTTAACTAAATTAATTGAGGAACTTTAGAAGTATTGTGGACAAGTTCATTTATTCAGGCTTACATCGACGTCATAGAAACCCTTTAGGAGAACTAACGACAAAGAATGAATGAGGCTGTAAACTCGTTACGTCAATACGCAAAATATTATGCGTCTTTACGACACGTGCAAACATAAAGAGCTCAGCTTTACTAAGATTTATAAATCAATACGTCCACCGTATTTATTACTTCATAAAACGTAAGAAGATTGTAAGAAAATTTTATTTAAATAAGAAGATTTGTAATTCAAGATTGAAAGCCTTATATGACAAATATTTTAGAGATTTAGCTCTTCCGTAAACATTTTTACACAACACTACACTATAGAAAGGTTAATACAATATAATGTGAACGATTCACGCACCTGTGGTGGTTGATGTAATTTGGATTTCCAAAAATGTTTAAATGAATAGCGAAGGTACGAGGGTGGATTGAAAAGTACTCGGCCTAACACAGATCCATTCAATTCTAAAAATCAAATCTATCCACATTATTTAGTTCAGTTCAGACTAGTTCATTGTATGAAGTTCGAAACGTGTGCGATAATTAGTTGTGATTTTATAAATTTATTAACAAAGTAATCGGACATAATTTCCGCGAATGGAGCAAATCGAGCAGCGTGCCGTCATTAAGTACCTCCATAAGAAGGGGCTATCATCAAAAGCCATCCATGATGACATGGTCAGTACATTAGGCGATTGTGCTCTGTCATATTCATCCGTCAAAAAATGGATAGCAGAATTTAAGCGTGGTAGAGAGAGTTTGAAAGATGAACCCCGCTCTGGAAGGCCTTCGACGTCAACTACTGACGAAAATATTAAAAAAGTACTTGATTTAATAATGGGAGACCGCAGATTAAAAATTAGAGAGATAGCCGAGATTATAGGCATCTCTTATGAACGAACTCAAAACATCATTGTCAACGAGTTGGGTTTCCACAATGTGTCTGCGAGGTGGGTTCCGCGACTGCTTTCAGTTGAACATAAAAGGACGCGATTGACTATTTCACGTGACTGTTTGGAGTTATTTGAAGCCGATGCAGATGATTTTTTGAATCGTTTTGTTACTATGGACGAAACATGGGTTCATTACTGTACACCGGAAACAAAACAACAATCAAAACAGTGGAGAACACCTGGTTCACCATCCCCTAAAAAGGCTAAGTCGATTTTGTCGGCAAATAAGGTGATGGCTTCAGTATTCTGGGACTCGAAAAGTGTGATTATGATTGATTATCTTGAAAGGGGTCAGAATATAAACTCTGATTACTACTGCACCTTACTACGTCGTTTACGAGAGGAAATAAAAGAAAAACGTCGAGGAATGCTCAGAAGAAAAGTCCTGTTTCATCAAGATAACGCCCGTGTTCACACGTCAGTACAGTCAATGGCTGAAATTCACAACTGTGGCTTTGAACTGTTACCGCATCCGCCGTATTCACCTGATCTGGCACCATCAGACTTCTTTCTGTTCCCTAACCTAAAAAAGCACTTGGGAGGTCAAAGATTTTCGACAAACGACGAGGTCAAAGCAGCTGTAGACGCATATTTTGACTCTAAGGAAGAATCATTTTTTTTTCAACGGTCTAAATGCTTGGAAGGGGAGGTGGCAAAAGTGTATTGAACTTGATGGTGATTATGTAGAAAAATAAAAATATAACTGATTTAGTATTTGTTTATTTTCTTGGTTAGGCCGAGTACTTTTCAATCCACCCTCGTATGAATGAAAATGTTTTCAATGTAACAAACGGGTATAAAGCGCCACATTTTCAGACATTTAATTCTAATGATAATGGCACTTATATACGACAGTGACGTAGATGTCATAAGACAATCCAAGCTTAAGAGGCAATACAAGCTACTTAATATAGCATGACGCTGGCGAAGTCGAGTCTCAAATGTTATTGTTCACACCAATCGTAATCGAATACATGGAAAACAGAAGGATGTATCATTACAATTGTTTTGTTTGACGTTCAACCATCACTGTCTTTATCCTTATAAAGATGCGTTGCGACTGAATATGACTGATTATTTGCATTTTAGATTTAATCAGTTTATAATCGGAAGGTAAGGTTCTCGAGTGGCAGCCTCGTACCGGCAGGCGAAGTGTAGGGCGTCCCCCCACTAGATGGAGTGACGACCTGGTAAGATATGCAGGAAGTCGATGGATGCAGGTGGCTCAGGACCGTGCTTTGTGGCATTCTTTGGGGGAGGCCTATGTTCAGCAGTGGACTTGTGAAGGGCTGTAATGATGATGATGATGATGATGATAATCGGAATAAATATGGCCACCTATAGTTCAGTGATGGAAAAAAGTCAAAGGCTTCCCCTCAATCCGTAAGGGTTATAGATGATCAATTAGTCCGTCGCACTGCTTTAGTGTGTTTTGGCGAACTTCAAATGCCCTTGAAATAATTTATTCCTTACATGCAGTTTCATCATAAATTTCCCTTCACCTCCGAGCACATAGTAAAACAGAACTTGAAATTGCAATTAACAATTTCATTGGTGCCGGCGGGGATCGACCGGATTGCTCGCGTACTGTGTGTGAAATTGACGGCTAACGCTTAGCCCCCGAGCGCTACCAGGGCTCTTTTTCCCAAAGCATATTCAAAATAAAATTTCAATTAATTACATACTATATAGCGACACGCCTGTAACCCCTGAGGGGGAAGACCTAAGTCCCAGACTTAAATAGGAGAGGATAGGGAAATGTATGAAATTGGGTGCTTGACATCGTTTGTAACAGTTATACAAAAATATGTAGGTAAAAAAAAAAACGATAAATTATAAGCATCAACAATTGGTTTTTATTTCTGTAATACTTGGGACAATCATAAAACATTTTTTTTAAACTGAAAAATGAAACCTAAGGCTTTTTAGCAAAAACGAAACGTTTTTAAAGAAATTTTCTGTATTTTGTCAATGGCAATAGATAATGAAGACTATTTTTTATAATAAAATAGCCTTTATATATATAGCATTATCAAAAAAATCATTATATTAAAACATCAACGCGAATCTGTAGTGATTAATATTGATAAAAAATGTATTTAGAAAACGATTGAATAGGCTTAGGAATTGTTATTAAACTTAAAAAATTTTGAATATTATCCTAAATAACTGAATAGGTCGTATGGTCATTGATCATTGCATATTCCGAAGATATGCTTCTTGGTAACTTCGAGTTTCAGCTTGTCATGCGGCATGCGCATATGGCATATAGCTGTTTTTTTTTTTTGATAGATATCGTGTTTTTACTTTCGTGGATTTATTTAAATTGACCCTTGGCTTTTCTCTCGGATCACAGGACAGTAAGTTGTTGCGTCCACATAATGAAAATAATGTGGTAATTAAGTTTTGAGAGGAATAGAACAGACAATGTACCTACAGCTTCCTTTTCAAGATGACATTTTATTAATAATCGCAGAAAATAGTTAAACAAATAAAAAAGTTTGAGTTTTATTTTACTTTGTTTAATAATAACTACAAAACTGCGTTCTTTTGTGTTCTTTTCAATTTATTCAAACAACTTATCACAAGAACGAGTGATTTTACTACAAATCTAATAAACTACTAAAACTACAAATCATAAAACATAAAATAAAAACAAAACCCCAGGTTCTGCAAAAATATGATTTTTTGACATAAGTAGCGCAAATCTTCAAACTAAGACATATTTTAAGTTTGTTCACGCCGGGACCAAGCTTGTATGGAATCAAGTTCATCTCCTTTGGCTAATTACATTTCTTTAATTAAAACTTAGTTTTGTAAAATTAACATTAAATTACACAAATTTCATTTATTTAATCCGAGAGTGGCAATTATGGCAAATCTCTCCCCCCCCCCCCCCCCTGAAACAATTTATGGGGAAGTCCTATGTAACGGTAGGTAACAATAATTTGTCAGTAGGTATCTTTTCATCCATGATCGAGAGAACCACTTGATAAACTGTCGTGAAAAAAAACCAATACAAGTGCGTATAACTTAAAACAGATTAAATAAACCACACCATAAGCATCTTACAGAGCAGTAATTGTATCGTTAAACTAATGCGTGTCCGCCTACGCAAGCTCGCATGTAATTGGCGAAATTACACTAATTATTTTCGGTCGGAAGTCACGCGCGGCCGATTGTCACAATACGTTTTTCTAAGGCGTGTCATAACTTTTTGTGAAATATTAGGAAGTGAAAATGGATGGATAATCCAGGCGGTACTACCGGAATATATCTACCATATCAGGTATTTTCAACGTACTCGGTGGTTAGAGTTGACTAATGAGACAGGGGTTTGGATCGGGAATTTTTGTATGAATACATTGTGTTTTTCAAAATAAGGTTGAATGTATAGGGAGACGTAATGAATTCTTAAACTATTTTCAACGTCATTCCTAGGTGTCAAACCCCATTAAATAACCATAAAATTTTTGGAGTTCGACTATCGGTTGCCGTAAATACAATCTCAATGCTGAACCTGGATCCTACAAGACAGGTGATGGGTAGCAGCACATTCGTTAATTCGCCAACCCTCTTGTCCAATGTGGTGAGAATTTTTTACGGGTGTCACTTTGACTTTTAATTAAAATAAAAACGAGAATAAAAATTAGAACTAAATTATAATTTCCTGAAGATTTTTTATGGATATTTTCACAGAGTACTTTTATATATTTTGAGGGCTCATTTAAACGCACTTACTTAAAACTTTGAACTGATTTGTTATTGGAAACTAGTTTTAGTAATAAGTCGGTAAATGTTTTTTGTTAACAGAAAAGTAGGTGTTTTATGTTAATAGAAGTGCACGTATTATTAACACGTATACATCATAACTTGCAGCGGTATATTGTCGTAAACGTAATACAAATTTATATAACCGGCCAAGTGAGAGTCGGAATCGTGCATGAAGGGTTCCATACCATCGTAATACACGTTTCTAATAGAAGAGCTCCCTTTAATTTTTAATTAATTTTTATTTTTATTATATTTATTTTGTTGTTGTAGCGGCAACAGAAATACACATTCTGTGAAAATATCAACTGTCTACCTATTACGGATCATGAGATACAGCCCGCCACTGGCAGAGCGGAGGCTTAGTAATACGGTGCCGTTGGTTACCCGTCGGGTACGGAACCCTAAAATAATCGTAAACTCCAATATCGGTATCTCCAATTTTCTCTCTAGTGTAGTACTTTCTTTAAATACTGCCGCCATTGATCGTAAGGTCCCGGGTATAAGCACCGTTCTTAAAAAAACCTTACTTCTTATATTCCCGTAATATAATTGGCTCAATTACAATCACGCACATAATTTTTTAAACTGTTAATTTCCGTTTTATCAGTGAAAGCAGCTGCTTTGTTCCCACAGAACGTTTACGAATCCGAAAAATAAATTGCAAATTCATAGTGTAGTGGCGACGTAAGAAAATGTACTACGCCATAATATCATCTCGTGAGTATACCGTGTAGTGGCGGTGTTAGAATATCCACTACTCATATCATTCCGTGGATGTCGTAAGAGGCGACAGAGAGAAATGAAACAAAAGATGGACAACAATATCTTCCTGATAAGTGATAACAACTGAATATAAGTAGTAAGGTAATTATATTATTTGATAATATTAAGGTATTATCTGAATGAAACATATAGGTACTATACTTGATAATAAACTAGCAAATTTAAATTAAGTACCTCCTACCATCTCGAAGTAAACCATGTGGTTATCATACAGTAGGCAACTGAGGGACTAACCAGGAAACAGGCAGCAGCAGTATGTGCCGTCTTCCTAAAATCCTCAAACCAGCTAAGTGTGAAGTATAAGACCTTATGAGAAAGCTCGGCCCAGCAGTGGGACATACATACATGTTTATAAAGAGTTTGTCAGAAAATGTCATGAAACATCTGAGGTCGCCAAGCCGTCTGCCAACCGTGGCAACTTTGGCAGATATTGCCCAATGAGGCAAGCTATGGGGAAGTTCTAAGTTCAGTATTGGATTTTTGATAAGCTGTAATGGATGAAAAATGAACGTATGACGTTATGAATGCCATATTATGAATAACGTCTTACATCAGTCATAAAATATTTTATTTATTAGTTGATAGATCACACGTGACGTTTAATATAAGGGAGAAGATATGTGGATCAAGGGTAAATTTTATTTCAAGGCTCGAGTCGGCGAGAAATCGCGAACGTAACTACAAATAGCTAATATAAATATGTGATTGTTTTGATTAGCGTTTGCGTAGAGGCGACAGGAAATAGTGAAAACAAACACTCACCTGCTTTGTCAGCGTTCGAGGCCATCACCCGGAACGTGCCGAAAAGTAACACGAGCAGCCTCTGCGTGCACACCGGCAGAGACAGCAGGAGTCTGAGAACAAATGTTTTTTTTAATTCACCACAATTTTTTTTTAATTCACCAAGTGTAATATAGCAGCATAATTCTGTTGTTTCGCATGGCGAGTGTAAAGAATCAGAAACTCTTTTTACTGTTAATATTGGCATTTTTGCTTTTAATTGTGCTGTTACACCTGGCTTCTCGCCAAATTTAATGATTTTAGGCCAACGGGAAATATCCTATAGCTATAGGTTTGATGAGTGTGTCGAAGAAAGTCAAAATACTCTACCAGTACCTGAGAATATCTAAGGGTTTTGTCAGACAGACGGAGCGCTAAAATATAAAACAATTATGTATATTAATCAATAGCGTCCGTAATAATTATCAACAATTATTGTCGATGTGCTTTGGTCATTTTTATGAAAGTTAATTGAATTTTTGTTATAAAAATCTTGAAAGCGGGAATCGTTCAATCTTCCGGTAAAAAACTATCCCAATACCTACCATATAATAAACCTAGCAAGCTAACAGCATAACAAAGTGGCGAAGCAATCAGCTTTGTAGGTGTAGCGGTTTCTAACGGTTGCCGTTGAGCAATCAGTTTCAAAATAGAGAGGTTCAGATGCCTGGGTGATCAGTAATCGATTGCTGAAAACAGAATTTGAAAATTCGAAACCGTTCTCGAGATAATCGTGGGACAGACGGACAGACGGACAGACATCGTGAAATCAATAAGTGACTTCGCAAGCTTAGCCACTTAATAATAAACTTATAGTTTGTAATCTGCTGGTAAGCCTAACCTAGCATAAATCCACTTCCAATATAGTTTTAACACGTCATAATCTTTTCTTTTAAAAACTAGTAATGCTATTAAACATTACTAATATTCTCTTTAACTACTTCTGGTAAGTTTAAAATGCTTGTGTTAGGCTGTTGTTGTTAGGAGTGGTTCATAACAGTAGTCGAATGGCGGATTCGAACCCACGACCTTTCGAGTTCGCGGTCCGCGCCCTGTCATTAGGCTACTGACGCTTCATAATCGACTTAATTGTATTTTCTACCTACTTCAAAAAGGAGCCGGTACTCAATTCGACTGTGTTTTTTTTTGTGTGTTACCTCATAACTTTGTACTGGATGAACCGATTTCGATGATTCTTTTTTTATTTGAAAGCTGGTGCTTCACATGTGGTCCCATATAAGATCTGACCAAAAGTTTTTGAGTTATTCTTAATCATTTCTATTGAAGTCTGTTCAATTTTTTTTTAATTTTAAATTATATTTTTAAAAATCTTAATAATATCACAATTTATGTAGCAATCACACGATAGTTTCTAAGATTTGCGAGAGTTATATCTAATTAGAATTCAAACAAAGAAGGCTGCAAATACGTTGTGACGTCTGAGGACAAGTTGAAATGCCTCGCAGCCTGTAATTCAATTATACCCGGCTCTCTATACTCTTCAAATCGTAAAACAGTAGGAATATGTACCTATCCAGACGGAGTCCTGGACAGAAAACGAATCCCACCACCTGAAACACCTACTACGTACTACTTCCATACTTTTTTTATAGGATAGAGTGACAAACGAGCACACAGACCACCTGATGGTAAGTGGTAACTGTGACCCATACGACATCTACATTTATCATCAATAAAGAATCAAAATGCAGATGCGTTGTCACCCGTGAGGACTAAGTTGGAATGCCTCTTTTGCAGTAAAAAAGGTCTCCGGTTCTCTACACTCACCATACGAAACACAGCAGCATTAAGCTGCTATTTTATGCTGGTATTCTGTGAGAACGTGGTCCTTCCCAGCTGAGCTGCACCACGTATAAAAACTACGTAAACCCTACCTCTATCTTTCTTTCTTACGCTATAGATTTTATTTAAAATTTAAAGTTTAATAATAATAAACGCTTGAAGTTACTTATGAAAGTTAAAATTTTACATAATAGTTAATTTTATCTACAATATTAAAAACTGATAATAAAAAATAAAAAAACTAAAACTAGAAACTTAATTATCATATAGTCCTACTACCCCGCGGTATCGTGCCAAGAACGCTGGCTGCGTTTCCCCGCTGAATGGCTATATGGCTAAAAGTTAAATAATAAAAGCATTGCATAGAATCATCGTAAAAATTAATATCGGAAATAGCAGAAGTACAGCTGCATATCTCCTATGAAAGACTCTGATATAAGTTACGATTTTCCTCTATTAAACGGCTCCGTGGCTTAGCAATGAGTTGCAACCCTAAGGACCGCGGGTTCGAATCCCGCATACAAGAAGTATTTGTGTGGCCTGCAAATAATTGTTACGTGTCTGGAGGTTTGTTCTTGTGAAATTTATCTATGTAAACTACCACCCCCACGATACAGAAGAAAACCTTAGTGCGGAGATAACGTCTAATCAAAAAAAAAATTAAACTGTACACGATCATTTGAATTACATATGTAGTTTAATTAAATCAAATGAAATGAATCTTAAATAGCTATCAGTATTTATTCATATGGAGCAGTGCTGCCAGTATCGAGTGCTGTCGGCACTTACGGTGCCCCGATAATTACGTCAATAGCTGTGATTATAGGAAGTATCGTATGAATTATCAATAAGCTACGTCCATGTAGCCGTAAAATTACGCCGCGGCATCAAAATTCAACGACAAACTGCCATTGTTCGATGCCATACAACACTGCAATGTGGATATGATGACCAACTTTGTCCCCTTGTGAACAATATCAAGATGGGCAAGTATTACGTGGCATTATTGCGTAGACAATTTAAATATCATCTTTAGCATACCGTAACTGCCCACGCCTGAATATGGTCCTCCTCCCACGTTGTAGAAATCAAATTAAATTAAGATAGATTTTCCTTCATGTTTGTTAGAGATGTTATTCTTTTGGCCTTTACAGCTTCACCTAATTCAGGACTCGCGGCCTTGATACAAGAATGGAAAAGGCAGTGATGATAATGTATTTACAACCAATTGCCATATCACATGTGTGGATTTCAATTTTTTTTTAAAACGTTACCCCAACACTAGGATTTTCTCCTGTGTCCTTGAGGCAGTTTACAAACATAAATTGCACAAGGACAAACATCCAGACCCGGAACAATTATTTGTAGGCCATACAAATACTTGTTCGGTACGGGATTCGAACCCGCGACCCCCAGCACAACAACTGATTGCTAAGCCACTGCGCCACAGAACCGTCGACAATTGCGATGCGAGTTAGATAAGCGATCGCAATACCTGCTGTTACCCGCGACCGGTTAAGTTATTTTACTTCTGACGTTAACCGACTAGTCATAACACTTATCGGCAGCTATTGCATCTTTTTGACGTTTTCAATAGGCGCCTCCAACGACACTCACGCAACGAGACTGTGATGAATTCTCTTCCGCCTAACAGCATAATTAAAAAAAAATTATAAACATAATGCGGTGAAGAAAGTCTGCCAACGATCAACCCACCATTACTTTTTCGGTAAATAAGAGGGAACGTGTTTTACTTTGTCGTGAAGTCTTCAGGGATTGTTATTTTTTTATCTTCCCTACTTAATTCAAAGAAATTTAAATATAGAAAATTTATGAAAAACATTTGGTAAGTATGTATATTATATCAGTAGTGATAGGAGATTCAAATAAAAATAGTGCCTATATTCCAAATATTTTCATAATATACGTAAACTAATTTATTTTCTTTTATATTGTCTGTGTGACTGTGTAGGTGATGGGCTAACCACCTGTCACTTTCATCACAATTCTTCATCTATACCTAATTTTTTGAGTAAATGTGATCTGTGTGGCTCAGTGATCTTTGGACTCTGCCTACTCCCTCGGTGATTAGAGACGTGTCGTATATCTTGTCGTTAAAATGTAATATATTTTCTTTATTTTAAAGACATTTAAGATTTTTATTTGTATAAACATCTATACAAATAAATAAAATTGAAGTGTCTGTTTGTAATGTCAAAATTACAACATTTTACTAAATGCATATGAAAGTTTATACGGTACTTATAACAAAAATACAATTTATAAAATTTTTGTCTGTCTGTCTGTTTGTTCCGGCTAATCTCAGAAACGGCTGTGCCGATTTCGACGGGACTTTCACTGGCAGATAGCTGATGTTATAAGGAGTAACTTAGGCTACTTATATTTTAGAAAAATAATTAGGGTTCCGCGCAACATAACTAAAACCCTAAACTACACGCGGGCGAAGTCGCGAGGAACAGCTAGTTATAAATTACATGATTACCAGTAGGTATTCGTAGTTTAGTAAGTTATAAAGGGAACTACGAATACGACAATAAGGTAACAAGAGACAAGTCCTGCAATTTCTTCCAGTTTAGAGATATTTAATAACGTTAAAATTAAAAAAAAACATACTGCATCGAACATGAGTTGTGATGATCGTAATGAGAACACTAGATCATAGTCATTGCAAATGGTTCTAAAAACGTCTGCAAAATTTCAGATTACGTGGGTGAAAGCTGAATTATTAAATTCCAATATATTCATACATGTAGTTAAATACAAACATGACAATGCTATACAAAACTTGTAAAATTAGATTGCCTTGACATCAAAACTTAAAACCGTATTCATCATTATAGCCCTTCACAAGTCTACAGCTGAACATAGGTCGCCTCAAGGAACATCGTATTATTAGAAATAAATTCATATTATTATTATAATATGATAATAATAATTAGTTTACATTAGATAGAATTGGACGTTACACTTAATCTTTGTTTTGTCCATGTTCAGCTTAAGACCTATCCGTTAGGAGGCACTATTAAGGTCCTTGAGCATAGTACTTAGGTCCTTCAGTGATTCTGCCATAAGGTCTATAATCTATATCGTCGGGAAATCGAAGGTGAGTGATGTACACGCCATTGATGTTAATACCGTATCCTTTCCAATCCAGTAGCTTGAAAATGTCTCCCAAATCAGCGGTGGAGTTTCGTGGAAATATCGTCACCCTTACACCTCTCTGCAGTTGAATGTGTTTCGTACTCTGGCT